GCATATTTAAAAGAAATTATTTGTAGCAGAGGCTAATTAAGCACAGTCGAACCAATCAATCCTGATCCTACTGCAGTCGCTTGACTTCTAGACATTCGTCTGAATATTTGAACTGTGAAATTTGTATTTTGAATGAATAAAAACTGAATCTGAAACTGAAATATTCATTGCTAATCAATACCAATTAAATCACCAAATCAAGCAGTGTTAAGCTTAGAAAAATTCTTGTTAGGTCAGTATATTCTAGCCTAATTAGAACTGGACAAATCAATCAGCACTAGTCAATCCCTTTCAATTCTGTTCGATACCAATTAAGCCGGGCTTTTGTCTTATTAGTGTGGATAGGTCGAATTACGCTAATCAGGACGAGATAAGATGCCCTGGGGTCTATCCATGAGGTAGGTTAGACTCGAACGAATTAAGTGAATACTGTGAAGTCGAATTAGGATCATTTAGATTGGACTAATCAGGATTGCAGTAATCTCAAACACTACATTTTTGGGCAAGTTAAGGATGTCTAGCCGATCGGATTACTGCGTATAGAAAGATTGAACCTATTCAGATTTAAACCGTGTTGAGCTAATTCGGATTAATCTGATCTTGACAAGTCAATTTTGAGTAAGTTGAAATTGTCTACACAGTTCAATGACAGAGTATGACCACATCAGTTGACCTGGATTAGCCCGGATTAGCCTAATCTTGAACAAGTCGAGTCTGAGTAAGTTAAAATTACCTATACTTCTATTCATACATCAGGTGCAACGCTATGAAAGCTAAGCGAAAGTGCGGTCAGCAAAAAGTATAACTCCACGCCTCTCGCACTTAGATTTGGTGCTTCATGGCCTTCCCGATGGGTTCCAGCTGCGTAATTATGGAACTAATCACGGAGGATATAATACGAAAGCACAGGGACACTCAGTGATCCTGAACAACCTCTGAACAAAGGATCAAAATTTTTTACTTCGTCTAAAAACGAAAAAGAAAAACACGGCCAGTAAAATCATTTAACTACTTGTTGCCGTGAGCGCACCTATACAGCAAGAAGTATCACAAGCTTTCATAGCGTTGCACCTGATGTACGAAACGAAGCCAGTTAGATGCTTGAGTAGTGCCACTTTTAGCTAGTGCGTATTAAGCCGGAATAAGCTAATACCTAAAAACGAAATTTTGAGTGAGGGGAGATCACATAGCTAGTTGGATGCCTGAGTACGGCCACGTGAAGCCTATCCAGATTAAGACAGATTTAGCTTATGCGAATCTGGCTAATCCTGAAAAAGTCAATTTTGAGTCAGTTTAGATTCTATCCAGTTTGATGAGAGGGTATTACCACAATAAACAATGCGGATAGAGCCGGAGTAAACTTATAGGGATCAATCTTATCCTGAACAACTTAATATTGAGTGAGATTACTTAGCCTATCTTATGCCGGAGTATGGCCACATTGAATTGATTCGGACTAGCCCGGAATAGGCTAGTCAGAGGGACTCGAGTTCTGTCAAACCTGTGTGAAGTTAGACACTTGTTTCTGTCAAACCTAGGCGAAGCTCAGACATTCCGTTTTGAAGCAAACCACGAGCTATTAAAATGACCGTTAAGGCTCTATGATTGGGTCATGTAAATCATCGCGTACATCACATACATGACACGATTTTCGTGATATTACCAGTCATTTATGTTCATCATGCGCTCTCTTATCATGGCATGTCAATTTTTGTATGCGCCAAGTTGAGAAAACCATTGTTGTAGCATGACCGGGTCATGTATTTCATGGCATGCATGATGAAATGATATGATTTTCATGTTATTACCAGTCAATAAAGTTTCTCATATGCTCTTGTCATATATATGCCAATTTTCGGTATACATCAAGGTTATAAATCAGCCGCGAATACATGAAGACCTATGCTACCATTTAAGCAGATAGACCAATAGACACTCCCAAAACTCCTTGTGTTCGTCATAAAATGCTTCGCTTTTGATCACTAGAGCTCAACATTTTGCTCACTAACATTACATGTGGACTCCCTATACCGTCAGAAGTGATAAACTTGATGAAATTACCGCGCATTTCACTGAACGCGCATTTCACAATCGCTGCCTGTCAGACAATGCCAGTGAACGGGAATGTTTCAACTAATAGGCACCCACAAAGGCAGTTGTGTCTCCACCCTCTACAAAAGCGGCACATCAAAGCGCCCTAATCTGCAGCCCGTGGAGACGCCTCTCACGAAGGTGCGTGCGGGGCTTGCAAGAGCGTTTCAAAAGAAGAAACCCCAGTGCGAGGCGCGCGGACTTGCACATTTTACTGACCGAACTTCTTGCATAGCTTCTCGATGGTTGCACCTGACATATAAAACGCAGTATAAAATAGCCATCACGTTATTATGGAGACGCAGGTAGGGAATTCTTTTTTTTTAAAGTCAGAAGTTCCTTAAAATAAGCAATTATTGATATCAATTGTAGCCGTTGTCAAGTAGACCAATTTCAGTCCACGAAGACGAAATATTTCAAATAAGTGTCCTTCACAAGTGTACTTCTTCACAATTGTGTTTTTAATCGTTGGTAGAACGCACTTGTATGCTTCAGTTCAGTCTCCTTTGGGCAAACGTGACCTGTGGCACGTTTATTATTTATCTTTACTTTGTTTCCAAATATCGTAGTTTTATTTATTACTTCTTTTCTGCGTGCCCGCCGTGGTTGAAGAGGGTTTTTGGAACACTGTCACAAGCTTCTCAGGTCAGTCAATACAAGCTTCACATAAAAATAGAACACGCGCGCTGATTACTTAAGTGACACGTGACCTACAGATGGAAAAGGCAGCAAGGCAGCACTATTATCATTTTGGACATGTACATAAGGTGTATCAGTAATTCAAATTCACATATACTTACGGACTAACCATACTAACGACGTGTAGCTGGGACATTCAAGTGGTTGATGCATTTGTTATTTAGCAACATGATCTCTATCTCTTACATATCACCGTAGTTGACTGCGTGCTGTAGAATTTCAAAACTACTGACGACAAAAATATTTAAATATATTTGATGACTCAAATCGCAACTAATTCATAACGCTGCTGGGTCTTAAGGTTATTAATCGTCATGAGAAGAAAAAAAGAATACACATCCGATTTCTTCAATGTTGCGCAGTGCTCTCTCAAAGTAATCTTTTCTCTCTTAATCTAATAGCTTTCCGTTCATAAAATTACCTTTGGTTCAATGCGCTGCGCCGGCAATATTGAACTAATTACTTCTAGAACCATAGCCACCTCATTTTTTTTCGACCTGTCAGAAATACAATTTTGGAGTAATCTGCTTATGGAGCTCCTGACTAACAGGACATACGTTTGAAATTTTTGATTGCTAAGCAAGTTCTTTTCTTTTCATTGTTTCGTGAAGCAATGAAAACATCTGAACGTCAAGTGTGCGTAAAAAAGCGATCTTTTTTTCAATTGCGAGACAGTTGATATGCCTAAGAAACGCCATCTGAACGCACCCCACAGTTTATTATTTTTTTAAATCCGGATCACTAGGCTGAGGTGAGGGCAGCGTACAAAATATAAAAGCCTCCACATGAGGTGCAGTGTTCTTAAAAATTATGATGAGGAACGCCTATGCCATGAGCGAGTGTCTTCATTCTTTTTAAACATTTCAACTATTGAAAACTGCCAGTGTATTTGAGTTGCGCTAAATTCAGAAAACATACAGTAACCATTCGTGACAGCTGTGTAGGACTTATTTGCTACTGTTATGATCGCCCTTCACGGCTTCGTGCGAATGGGAAGCCGACATCTAAGTGTCAATATCTGCGACTTCATGCGTATAGAAAATTTCACGAAGCGCATCAAATGTGGTGCTGTAAAACTTTGTATGCGTAGTACAGGTACTGCATAACTGTCATTGAATGTTCAGAGCTACGTGAGTTTTTAAAAATTTAGCCTTCAGTGAAGCACTTCATGTTACTTTCTAAGAGATCACCTATGCTGATGTTTGTAGCCTGAGTGAGTACTTCCCACTTGAGCATGCATGAGATCAAGCAGACCATGTCTGCTTTAGTCAGAAACAAAATCGAAGAACTGTAGTGGCAACGAAAACTGCTATTTAAAACACATACACACACAACCCACAACACAGACACACGCACAAACAAACAAACTGGGTGAGGGATATGAGCCATCTGCGAATGAGTTTTAGTGTATCTGCACAGGTGGTCTAATAAAAAAAAGCTATTCTCATTTCTTGCAGCTTTATCTTTAGCATAAGCTTTGAACCTGCATGGTTATGATTAGCCTGATCATTACACGCCCATAGTGTCTGCGTCTGAGAAGCACAAGTTGAGCCCAGCACTTCCAAAACATTGGGCCGAATACTAAGCCGTTGCACCGCGGAACTCAGGTTATACATCAGACAGGGTCTTAAACCGCGACTGGAAATCTCAAGAGTAAACGGCTACTAATACATCACCGACATCCTTTACGGCCAAGCGGTATCACCTGTAGCGCACAAGACGGTTCATCTCACTGAAAACCTCAGAGGTTACATGAGTGCGATAAACATATCCTTATTTTTGAAGTAAAAAAATTCAAGACGTGTTGGTACGGTTTTTTCGAAGCTTGGTCAGTGACGCGAAAGACATGGGTTCGATCTCAGGCCGCGGATCTTCGTGGACCTTTCTGCTTGCCGAAGAAAAAGGAAACAAAGTGTGCGCAAACACACGGAAAGAAGGGTTTTGTAAATCAATACTTGCAAATGAATTCGGGCCATGATTTCTACTTCTGTAACACGTAGCAAATAAACACCATTACCGAATGACAATGGCCCAATGGTAATTGCTGCATATCGGCTCACTTTTTCTTGTTTTTGGCTGCTTGATCGCCTGATTGCTCGATTGTTGTTAATTGGTGTTTCTTCGAATGCTTGAATTTCACAACAAAATGGTAAGGGTTCTGCTTTTATAAGAACGGGCAAAGGTATTTTGCTTGCTCCTCCATTTCTTACCTGTTCTGTGAGTTGGCCATTTGGACAATCCTTAAGAAATCCCTTGTACCTGGAAAACAACAGAAGAGGGATGTCACTTGGCGTGCCAGCGTTCGTTTCTCGTAATCGAAACAGCCTTGGCAATCATATATCACATAGGCGCCAGCCTGGATTCAACCAAATATAAATAAAAAATGCAAATGTGGAAGACCCGGGATTCCATATTACACCTTCAATATACCAACAAAACAACCATTACAACTTTGATGAGACGCAATAGCGAGATAGATATTCTAACAAGGTTTGGAGACAAAACCCTCCAGATAAAAATTGTGGAAAGGCGTACTCCAAGTGAAGCGTCTTCAGGGGCCAAAACACACACGCACACGCACACGCACACGCACACACACACACACACACACACACACACACACACACACACACACACACACACACACACAATACAATGCCGAAGCTTAAAATTTAACTTTAAAGAAGTGACACTGTGACACAATCTGGGGAAATGAAGGGTGCGGAATGCCCGGGTAAAAATTGTTTAAAGCGTAGCGCCAGCTACCTGCCGATCACTTTCAGCCACAAGTGTGTGCTGCTGGTATCGTCGTCAGAAAAATGTTCTTCGCCTGTTCATATAATCGGGTTCATTGCTTTTACCTTGAAGACTGCTTTCCTGTACGCGTACTATATCAACTGAAACTCATTCCTGGATTATGATAACCTCGTTCTGCGTGGTGCGCACAACAGCTGGTGCCGTGGGGAACCACTGGTATCCTTGTCGCTGTGTGCATTGATGCCGTGGCACGTATGGGAAGCGCCTCACGAGTATATTCACTTAATCGATGTTCAGTCTATTTATGAAGTTTAACGCTTCAAGGGAACTCTATAGCTATGACAGACACCATAAAGAGGGACTGCGGCTGGATTTAGACAATCTAGTTTTCGTCAACGCACACTAAAGTTGCATAGTACACGCGTAAACCTAATCCGAATACGCGCACGTTTACCCAAGCTGCCATTGCATGCATATGTTAAGGGTAGTTGGTGTACATTATTGTGAGGGTAAATGGCTTGTCTTGTAGCTGCGGTCGAAACAATAGGCATCCCGCTGTCCCCTTAGATAACTTAAAGTTATTTCTGCCTACCTCCGGACCCATCCACTTCATTTTCTTACATTTTTTATAAGATTTGCTTCTCCTGAAGGGATTCGCGGCTTCCTTATCAGTGATTTATGCATTTGTTACGCAAGTACAATTAGTTCACCATAAAAATGTAGAATATATAGGATGAGACAGAGTAGCGACATTTTCGTATATTAAATAGTCACGTTTCAAAAATTGCAAAACAATTGACAGAAATCCACGGAGTGAATGATGGAGAGTGGGGCGAAGCATTCGTCCGTCCATTCGTTCTTGCTTCCGTCCGTCCATGCATCCGTCTGTGTGACTGTCCATGCGTCCATCCACCCGTCCGTGCGTGCATCTGTTCGTGCGCCCGTCCCTGAGTTCGTCCATGCATCCGCCCCTGCGTCCGTTGATGCGTCCATCCATGCATCTGTCTGTGTGTCCGTTCGTCCATCTATTCAACACTCCAAGTTCTACCATCTCGCATTTTTTCATCATATATTCGAATGGATGGATGGATGGATGTGGCTGTACGCTTTAGATCGGGCGGCGGCTAACGCCACCTAGCCGTAATACTTAGTGAACTAACCATTAGATTTATCTTTTTTTTCCTTTAAATAGTGATGTTGAGGATTCGTACTTTGCACTGAAGGGTTTAATTTTCACTCATGCCTTCACTTTAGCCACCAATCTGATAACCTCCTTCTAGTCAAGTCTAACCGCTTAAAGTCTATTTTGCCCTCCCTGTCCCTAAACCTCAGTGTTTTGAAAAACTCTGCGCCATCATCATGAACTATAGGGTGAAGCCCTTTACAGAACATTATCAAGTGTTCGGAAGTTTCTTCTATCTCTCCACACGCACTGCATACTGTGTCTACCCCTTCGTATTTGGCCCGATATGTCTTGGTTCGCAATACTCCCGTCCTGGCCTCAAACAGTAGAGAACTACCCCGAGTATTATCATAGATCCTTTCCTTGGCGATTTCCTGCTTAAAAGTTCGATAGAACTCTAGTGCGGACTTCTTAATCATGCCGATTCTCCACATGTGAGTCTCCGTTTCCTTCACTTTCTTCTTAACCGATAGTTCTTTTTTTCCCCATATAAAAGCACCGCCATCCAGCGGACATTCCAAGGACTAAACGGGAGGTGGCACATGCACACTTTCTTACGGCTTGCGCTTCGGGTTTACTTCCCACCTTTAACCACCTCGAGTTCATGGTATATACTAGTTCACTGTAAGCATGGCACTGCGGCCCAACGCTTGCTAAACTTATCTAAAACCAAGGAGGTTACGCCCAGCGAGTATAACGTAGCAACCTTTTCCTGTCAGATAGTGCTCAATGTACATGCCTATGGCTGCTAATGGCAAATGAGAGACAGGAAAGTTTGGCTTTTGCTTTCTTACGGCTTGTGCTTCGTATCTACTTCCCACCTTTAACCACCTCGAGTTCATGGTATATACTAGTTCATTGTATTCATGGCACTGTGGCTCAACACTCGCTAAACCTTTCTAAAACTAAGGAGGTTACACCCAGCGAGTATAACGTAGCAACCCTTTCTTGTCAGATAGTGCTCAATGTACATGCCAATGGCTGCTAATGGGGATCGCAGCGTGCACGTTCGCTGAAAGCCGAATGCTCCTGTTTCTCATTCCCCATTAGCAGCCATTGCCATGTACATTGAGCACTATTTTTTATTGTTCAACAACGCACAGAAGAAATATCTCACCGGCACCACTTTGGAGGTCAAAATATTATACTTGTTACACACTACAACGGCTATGAGGGACGAATGGGTGCCGCTATAGGGAGCTTCTCCCCTAAAAAGAAACCTGAGTTGCATGAAAGACGACGCTTTCAATGCAATGGCTGTAAAGCGAGTACAGACGAAACTTATCTGCGCAGACACAACCCTTGGCGGCGCATGTACACGAATAAGCTTTGTAATGTTATGTTCGCCTGATAACGTTTGGCAGCGTCACACGACCTATGCGTGTGCCTTAGTAGACGTGCTTTAGCAGACATGGCTTAGCGGTGAAACATGCATACAGGCCTTTCCCTGATCTAATGAATACCGAGAGTAATAATAAGAAAACTGCCACTTAAACGGCGTGTTTTTTTTCTTCCTCATTAATTTGTCACTTCTTCCAGCGTGTTCATTGTCACAACTCACAGCAGCACACGCTCTTTATAACTTGCCGAAGTTCTTTTCTTTTTTTTTCCTTATTGAGAGGCACGCTATTTGCCATGTGCGCTTACGGCTCGACTTTCGCGAACGAGCTGCCTAAAACAAGTGCAGAGATTCCATTTATTTAACGTAGTAACGTAAACAATTTAACTTACGCATGGCCAGACCATGCATCAAGGCAGTAGCAATTTCTATTATAACGAGAACATCTAATCTACGATAATAAATATTCTACCCCTGCCTAAATTGTGTACGCTACCCTGCCACACAAATTTTGCATTGGGTATTCCGGAGATGGCATTGATTGATGTGTTTCTCTTTTTCTCCCAATTTTCTGAAGCACGCGTAATACATCCACTCACCTTCTTCAACGACCCCCTGCAGCTCATTACGCAAAGGACATTTCTAAGTTGTTCAATACTTTTTTTCTCCAAAATTGTTATTCGTAAAAGTTATCATAAATGTGAAGGTTTTCTACGTTAACCAAAGGAACTTCAACCAGTTCTATTTATTAGCCACCTACCTACGTGTGGGTGCACTTGTGGTCGGCTTCTTAACTTGGTGTATACCAAAACTGACACAGGAGAGCATCAGTATATTATGACATTATTAACGTGACATGCCTCTCGCGTACGTCATGATATCTTGTATCACATTCTCGCGAACGAGGGCATGCTCCACAAGTAATCCACAAGTAATTAACTGTTTGTATTGCAGAAAGGTCGACAGCTTAAACTCTAACAACAAATTTAGCCATAGCAGTTTACAATAACCCAGCATAGCAAAAGTGTACGTATAAAAAAACTTCATAAGACACTTTCCACAGATGAAACAGGAGGATAACGAACCGTTTGTGCTGACTGGCGTTTCTAATGTAGCACACAAATTCAGATGTATTACTATGACCACAGAACCTATAGCCTAGCATCACGCCTCCCCGCAAGAATCCACCAATGAACGCTCCTTGCCCTTAGTTTCGGTAATAGTGGGGTCTATGCTACATACGTGAGTTATACCGCAGATTGAGGTGTACACTTTACAACGCAAGTGCAGTCAACGTTCCAGAAGAGCCCGCAGTATGCACGCAACTACTCGTAGCGCCCAAACACGTCGATCCACGTCAAAGACTAGGTTGGAAGTGCACCGAAGCAGCTATTCACCCAGTGCTTCGCATAAAATTGATTACATAATGTGTGGCATCTACCGAAATTTCCTTCACCCCCATACAATGCCATAATACCATCTGGCGTCTCGCGTCTCAAACCCAGATATGATTATGAGAGACGCCGTACTAAAGGGATCTCGAAATTTCGACCATCTGCTACTCTTTACCGTGCATTGATATCGCGCGGTACACCGACGTCTACCATTTCGCCGCCATCGAAATGTGACCGCAGTTGGCCGAGATCGAACCCACGACCTTTTTGTCAACAGCCGAGCACCATAGTCAATGCTCCACCATTTCGCACTTTCGTCCCTACACAACTCCCCAGTTTAACTATAAAATCGCATGTAGTTCACCGAACAAATCACCGGGCATGTAATATTTTAGGGCTGTACATACAAATAGAGGATGATGAACCACTAAAGCTTTGCTTCGTTCAATTACACTACTACAGTTAGTGGCAGCCTATAACAACAAAAGTTGCCACTTCTTTTCCTTCCTCCTTTGCTTCTTTTCCTTCTTTTTGCGCCTCCTTAATTTCACCTCGAACGTCCAGAGTTATCCATTTTTCTATTTGATCCGAATGTACTTACTTGGATAACGGTTAAGAAATGATGAATTACCACTGTGTAAGTAATTTTGCACGTCATTAGGCATGAAACGGCTGAACTGATTTTACGATGACGTAGAACTCAATGCTTACGTTGAATGAAAAAGAAATCATGATTAATTGCGATGCAGCTGCGGTCATTCACGAGGTACCTTAAACACAACCACAGCACAATGAGAAACTCATCATCATCTTCAGGATATTGAATTCCCGTAATATACAAAACCACAGAATGTCAAAACGATTGACGTGCAATGTCTGCAGGCGTCGTTAATTACTACGGTTTTCGTTAATCCTTCTTGTTCTCTTTTCTGCGTTAAGGCAAGCTAGTGAGACAATCTTTTCGTGTACGAAACCGTCGTTGCACGATGTTGTGCAGGACACTTTCAAAAATTATAGTTCAATTCTAACTTGATGCAAAAGACGTTTCCAAAGCATCGAGCAATCCTGTTTGAAAAGTGGCGCAAAAAAAGCGAAAACACAAGACAGAGAAAGCCACAGTACAAGACGCTGAAGTAATGACTGACTTGTTTTGTAACAATGCAAAACATTACACACAAACACAACCTCCTTCATGTGAATATAAGCCTGCAATTATGTGCAAAGTTGCTCCACAGGCTTCACTTCACAATCTATCATACTTATGGACGGAAATTAGGTGGAATGTTTATGAATGCTGTTAATGTGAATGCCTAGATAATCTGTGCTCTTGATTGATGATTGATATGTGGGGGTTTAACGTCCCAAAACCACCATATGATTATGAGAGACGCCGTAGTGGAGGGCTCCAGAAATTTTGACCACCTGGGGTTCTTTAACATGCACCCAATTCTGAGCATACGGGCCTACAACATTTCCGCCTCCATGGGATATGCAGCCGCCGCAGCCGGGATTTGATCCCGCGACCTGCGGGTTAGCAGCCGAGTACTTTAGCCACTAGACCACCGCGGCGGGGCAATCTGTACCGGTGGTCACTCCTGTATACCGCGCCAGCAGAAGAATCCGAGGGCAATCCCTTGAGTTTGGACTGCTCGCCGACAACATGGCGGCTCTGACCAGCCCTACCGACATCAACCTAACCGGCATGAACGGCACAACGCCACTTCATTGCACCTTACTGGCACCGCGAACGCCAAATCCCTTTCATGGAACTTCACTAGAGGATGTCGAATATTGGCTAGTTCACTACAAGTTTGTTGCCATGCCCAACCAGTAGGACGACGCAGACTAACTGCGGCACGTCTATTTCAGTCTTTAGGACGGCGCATGTCTATGATATGAGAACCAGGCAGGTATCCTTACATCATGGGAAGACTTCAAACGCCGGCTTCTTGGGACATATGCCAGCCCTGACGGTCGGGAGAGAGCTGAGCACGATCTGCAGTCCCACATACAAATTGCGAATGAAGGGGTCGCGATGTATGTCGAGGACATGACGCTTCTTTTCCACCGAGCTGACCCTGGCATGCCAGAAGAAAAGAAGGTGCGGTACCTCATGCACGGACTGAAAGAGCAGCTTTTCGGTGGGCTTGTGCGCAGTCCACTCAATACGGTGTCAGAATTTCTCACAGAAGGCGTCACCATCGAAAGCACTCTTAGGCACCGGGCTCCGTCATACGAACGGCAAGTAAACGCTTCAACTAGGACTACTTGGGAGTTTTGGTGGCCAAATGAATTTCTTCCAAGAGCTCATACTCTCAGTCATCCACGAAGAACTTCAGAAGCTCTCAGTGTCCTCGCAGCCAACGATTTCCTTGTTGTCCAGCGTTGTCTGAGATGAAGTCCAGCATACCTTAAGAGAACCGCCTTTTATGCGGTATTATCAACCATCCAGTGACTTGCCCCGCATGTCGTATGCTGACATTTTGCGGTAACCTGTTACACCTGCAATTCCACATCCCACCGTGACCTCAGCCATGCTGCAGATGGTGCAAGCGGCGCCCTACTACAACACATCTCGCCTGATGTCGGAGAAATCAGACGTCTGGTGAGTTCCAGATCGGCGTCTTCTGTGCTTCCACAGTGGAGAAGCTGGGCGTCTGTACTGACAGTGCTCTTACCGACAACTTGGACTACGTGAATTTTCGACGAGCTCACCCACGGCCAGGTTTGTTCAGCGTCCCCTGAAATTGAAGAGTATGTGGCTCAGCAGCGCGGAACTTCGTGATCCTTGCACCCGTCACGCTCCTTATTGCCTCGGCGATTTTCTCCTAACCGCCGTACGTATTCAAGCGTGGCGCAGGGTCGGTCACCCAGCCCATGCCGGAAAAACTAACCACAGCGACCTTCGGGGGCGAGGCTGCTCATACTGAACAAGCTCAAGGCCTCCCAATGATGCTTCCACAAACCTACGATTTCCCGACGACGACAACACCAGCTGGTTCCGCAAAGATTTCATTACACATTCCAGTGCTGCTCGACAGTCGCAAAGTCAGTGCTTTAGTGGACACGGGTGTGGATTTTTCCATAATAAGTGAAAAACAGGCTGCCCTCCTGAAGAAAATGACGTTACCTTGAAACATCAGGCCAATTCGTACTGCTGGAGGGCACATCGTCACGCCCCTAGGTGTTTGCATGGCACGAAGACAGATTCGTGGTTTTACTTTCTTTGTAAGCTTGAGCGTTCTCCGCCAGTTTTCTTGAGACCTGATCGTTGGCATGGACTTCCTGGGGGAGCAAGGTACTATCATCGACATTCGACAACGCCTCGTCACGTTCTCAACAAAAAGCGCCACACCAGAGCATGATCCCAGCCAGGATCGAGTTTTTCTGCGTGTAATTTACGGTGCTGTGGCAACACTACCACGCTCATGTGTTATGGTTCAAGTGGTGTGTAACAAATTAGCACACAGTTAAATGGTCGCGGAGAGCAATCAATCTCTACTCTTTTCCCAAGGTGTCTGCGTAGCACGAAGCCTAGTAGACCTCCAGGCTGGCCACTGCGAGGTTCTTGTTGAAAATTTCAGCTACAAGCACCGACACCTTTTTCCCTGGTACTGTCAACGCCTATGCCTACGCTGTAACCAACGTGACTGAGTGTTTTTCTTCCGAGGCAACTGATAATGCCGAAGCACCTCTGCGTGGCATCGACATAAATCTAACGCTTCCTGACGAAAACAAACGAAGGCTGATTGACCTGCTGATAGAATTTCACGTCTGCTTTGCACGTTTATTGACAACCTATGGCGACGCGCGCCCTATACGGCAACAGCCTTACCGCGTTTCACCAACCGAACGACACGCGATTCAAACGAAAATGAATGAAATGCTTCAAGAAGGTGTAATACAGCCATCAAGCAGCCCATGGTCATCGCCAGTCGTCCCTGTAAAGAAGAAGGATGGTACACTTCGCTTTTGTGTACAATACAGGAGGCTGAACAACGTCACAAAGAAAGACATGTACCAGCTACTTCTAGTGGACAATTTTCTTGACAGGCTGAGGCGAGCAAAGCACTTTTCCTCAATGAACCTCAAAAGTGGTTATTGGCAAATTGATGTCGATAAACGGGACCACCAAAAACGAGCTTTTGTAAGTTCTGACGGTTTGTATGAATTCGAAGTGCTCCCATACGGCATCTGTTGCGCTCCGGCCACATCCCAATGAATGATGGATATCGTTCTCGCTGACTTCAAGTGGAAAAACTGCCTACTATATCTCGATGATGTCGTTGTCTTTTCAAAAACGTTTGACGAGAACCTTCGTCACCTTCGGAGTGTTCTTGAAGCTATACGATCCACTGACCTGTCCCTCAAGCCTGAGAAGTACCATTTCGGCTTCAAAGAACTGAAGTTCCTGGGTCACGTTGTGAGCGCTGCAGGCGTTGGGCCCCATCCCGAGAAGACTGCCACTGTGGCTGCTTTTCCAGCTACTACAGACAAAAGTCTTCGACGATTTCTTGGGCTGTGCGCATACTATCGCCACTTTATTCAAAACTTCTCTAAGATTGCGGAGCCACTCATTAGACTTACGCGCGACGACACCCTATTTCTGTGGACTTACGAACAAAGGACTGCCTTTGCGGAACTGCAACGTCGATTGTCTTCCCCTCTTGTACTTGGTAATTTTGATGAAAACACTAACACAGAGGCGCGCTGACGCAAGCATCATTGATCTCGTAGCTATATTGATGAAAACACAAGATGGGACCGAACGTGTGATTGCCTACGTGAGCCGCACTCTGTCACGCGCCTAGACTAACTATTTAACGTCCGAGAAGGAGTGCCTCGCGGTAATATGGGCGATTACGAAGTTCAGGCCTCATCTCTACGGGCACCCATTCAAAGTTGTGACTGATCTCCACGCTTTATGTTGGTTGGCTAACCTACGAGACCCGTCTGGGCGATTATCACGATGGAGTCTGTGACTTCAGGAGTTCGATTTTACCATCGTATACAAGTAGTGTAGAAATCATGAAGACGCTGACACGCTATTGCGAGCACCTCTGGAATCCGACCATACAGCTGTAGAAGACGACAGTGCCTTCTTGGGCACTCTCATTGGGGCGAACCTTCTCAATAAGCAACGAGCAGACCCCGAGTTGAGGCCCATCGTCGATCATTTAGAAGGCAGCACCGCGTCTATTCCTCGTCCACTTTAACGTACGTTGCTGTCATTTCGCTCACGAGACGGCATATTATACAATACAAACACCAGTGTCGGCAGCAGAACTCATATTATAGTCGTTCCTCAAGACCTTCGAGATGACATCCTATTAGCCTGCCTTGACGAGCCGACATCCGGCCATCTGGGATACTCACGGACGCTCGACCTGGTATGACAGCTATATTTCTGGCCTAAACTCCGAGCTTGTGTCAAATGCTACGTGAAAGGATGCCGCGAATGTCAGCATCGCAAGTCACCATCTGTAAAGCCTTCAGGCCGCCTACAACCCATCGAACCACTGCGCATGCCGTTTGACTAGTTTGGGATAGACCTCCTTGAACCGTTTCCTTTGTCTCACTCCGGAAACAAGTGGATCGTCGTCGCAACTCATCACTTGACGCGTTACGCTGAAACGAAGCTACTACCAAGCGGTATATATAGCATCTGAAGTCGCCCAGTTTTTCATGCACCACATTGTGCTTCTTCATGGCGCCCCGTCATTCATCATCACTGACCGAGGGACAGCGTTTACGGCAAAACTGATGGACGAGATCTTAAAGCTCACTTACACTAACCACCGTAAGACAACTGCATACCACCCCCAGAGTAACGGCCTGATAGAAAGGCTAAACAAAACGCTGGCGGGCATGATGTACGCAGATGTGCAGCATAAAACGTGGGACGAGATCCTGCCGTACGTAACGTTTGCGTACAACACCACAACCCAGGAAACGACAAGGTTCGCAACCTTCCGCCTCGTTTACGGTCGAGGCGTGCAAACCATGCTAGGCGCCATGATTCCTTGTGACATCGACCAGCACGAGCTATTAACGCCTGACGTGGAGGATTACATTCAGCGTGCAGAGGAAGCACGTCAACTAGCTCGCGTACACATAAGATCGCAGCAATGTGAAGACGCACGAAGGTCCAATATCCACCATCGACAAGTCACCTATCAACCTGGCGACCAAGTGTGAATTTTGGACTCAGGTTACACGGCGAGGTCTCAGCGAGAAACTCCCGAGTAAGTACTCCGGACCCTACAAAGTATTACGGTGGTTGAACGAGGTCAACTATGAAGTTATTCCAGACGAACGCTCGGCAGCGACTCAGCGCCACTCACGACGAACAGAGATTGTGCATGCCGTCCACCTGAAACCTTATTTTACGCGGTGATACTCGCCTTATCGTGCCCGAGTAGCAAACATTTTCTCTTTTTTTACGTTGTTCGTTGGGTCTCCAACTAACTGTGAACTGTGTTGATTTTTTTATGACCAACAAGATATTTCTTTTGTTTTGCATCTGCATATGCCATTTGCAATATAGGTATTGTTTCTTCCTTTTTTTCCTTATGGACCCTGGTGTCCCCTTGTATATGAGCAACGAGTCAATGCGTGAATGGTAGGGGCAATAATTCCACCTAGAGTTGTGAGCCGGCAAGCCCTAGCCAGCCGGAAAGAACGAAGACAACAAAGACGAAGTTTGTGTTAGCGCTTCGTTAAAAGATACATGCTCGTGTATTTCTGACCCGCTGTTTCTGTCTTGTCTCTACGGCTCTTGGTGCGTGATAACATGTAGGACAATGGGAAGACTTGTGCTAAGATTAGGTAGCCTTTGTGTTGTTAATGTTCTCATGCAACCTTTCGTTGAGGCATGTGCAATTTCGGCCAGTCTATTTTTTTCACGAGAAAGTGGAATTCTCTAAGCGACATAGCAAGCACGAGAAACTGCTTCATCTGTCTTGTCACTGCCGGAAGTGTCGTTGTGAGCCAAGTGTAAAACATTGAATGTCATCCTGAGACACGTGGTCATAAACCTACGCGAAATCATCTCAGCGACTCGCCTGCTGGACTTCTTTGCTTTGTGTTTGCAAGTTTCGCGCTGCTCTAAACTATGAACTTTATCCAAATCACCTTGTATTACATCGTTTTGCCGTAAAGAAAATATAAACTTGCCGCGGAGTATTTACAACTACAGCCCGCATTTATTCCCACACGTCTTTCAATACTTTCATTACCTTTTTCCTTTAATAAATAAAGCATGCGCTTATCTTCCAAAAAACTAATTTCACAAGTGGGTCGGCTGAGAAAGCATATTTTATGAGGGCCAACAGTAAACGACTGAGGATTTCACTGAAAACAAATTATCCACCAAAAGAAATGAAGAAACGCACAAAATAGAAAAGTTTTAGTAGCGGAAGGCGCTTCAAGTTCGCAATACACCTCCTGATTCACTGCCAAATTATTAGCGAAAACTGAAAAGACCCACGTTATCGAGAAAGACCCATGTAATATGCATGTTCTCAGCTGAAATTGGGGTTTCAGAGTGGAATTCATTGCAAAAGCTTCAACCTCATGACGAGTTCTCAAAGCACAGGGACTTCGTCGAACTGGTCATATTTGCATCGAGCAGCGTTTAAATGGGAGGGAAAAAAACTCCATCTCGCGGCATGCACATATTGCGAGCGGGCGTACCGACTGACCTCTAATGCGAGCAGTTATAGCATATTGAGCTCTGCAGAATTTGTTGAACAGTATTCACGTAGAAGTTTATTAAATGTGATATATTGATGGCTTCACCTTTTAATGTGTACGCAAGTAAGGTTTCGGCGCATACAAGGTCGACGCCACAGCGAAAATACAAATCATTGCCTTCTCCTGACGGCATGTCGGAAGTAGGGAGATTTATGATGCTTGCGCAATGACCGTGATTTTCACGGCAAACGCATGTGTCGAAGCCATAGAGCAGATTACTCCAGCAACGACTACCTCAAACTTTTAAACGGCGCTTGATTTGAGACGAGATAAGTTTTGTTGCGCAAGATTTATGCGGCGGTGATGGACACGGATAAAACTTCCATGTTATCTGCAATGAGCTCTTTTGAACGTATGAATATTCCTTTCACTTAGTTCACTAACTTCATTGTACTCATACAGGCTGAATCAATTAAATCAAATATGGCACATAACTCAAGACCCGTTATGAATCATACGAGTGGAACGCCAGTTCAGAGAAGCGTGCTTCAAAATGTTATAAATATTACCTGTTGAGGCTTAACGACCCAAAACCACCATAAGAATATGAGAGACGCCATAGTGAAGAGCACCGGAAATTTCGACCTTCTGTGGTTCTTTACCACTCACCTAAATCTAAGCACACGGGTTAGAAGTATTTCCGCCTCCATCGAAAATTCGGTCACCGCGGCCGGGATTCGATTCTTTATAGCCACTTGACCACCGTGGCGGGTACGTATAGCTTCAAAATGAACGTTGAAATACATTAACGTTCCGCATCGTTTTGCGCAGATTATTTTAAAACTTGCCCTGAGAGAACGAAAAAGCTGAATTGGAACTGACCATAGAAAATAATAAATTTCGGGGGTCTTAGCGCCACACGATATAATATTGAAACGCGCCTTAATGGAACACGTTGGGCCAATTTGGATTACCGCGGGTTCAATAACGTGCGCCTAAGCCCAAAGTACGCAGGTATTGCATCCCGTGCCAATCAAAAGGCGGCCGCACCGAGGGCCGAACCCTCATCCTCAACCTTAGTAGCGCAATACATCCACAACGCTACCATGACGCAGTGGATGTGTTGACACACCGTTCGACAGTGCGCCAGCTCCGTTCCCTGTGGATATTCAGCAACTTTACGGCAGTTGAGGTATATACCACCACCATCATAATCTTAACCATACGCCCAGGGCAAGGCAAAGGCCTCTCCCATGTTCAGCCAATGAACCCAGTCTTGTGCTTGCTGCTGTGCCGTTATGACCGCAAGCTTTTAAGCTCAACTCCCCATCCAACTTTCTGTCTCCCCCTTGCGCGTTTTTCTTACCTTGTAACCAATTCAGTTACTCTAATTGGCCAGCGATTATCATGCCTGCGCTCAGTATACCTTGCCGATAGTCATTTTTTGTTAATAATTTCAAGCAAGATGTCCTTACCAGCCGTACCAGGCCCCGCCGCAGTGGTCTAGTGGCTAAGGTACTCGGCTGCTGACTCGCAGGTCACGGGATCGCATCCCGGCTGCGGCGGCTGCAATTCCGATGGAGGCGGAAATGTTGTATGCCCGTGTGATCAGATTATGGTGCACGTTAAAGAACTCCAGGTGGTCGAAATTTCTGGAGCCCTCCACTACGGCGTCTCTAATAATCATATGGTGGTTTTGGAACGTTGAACCCCACAAATCAATCATCAACACCCGTGTCAGTTACACATGTTGAA